GGTTATGCGAATAATCTTTAGAAACATGTGGGATTATGAGAGAAAATAAAAAAAAAACAAAAATAAAATGACTCTCTTATTCTTAATAAAAAAAAAAACTCGAAATGATATTACCACTGAATCAGTATATCATCATCTTCATCTTCACTCTCATTGTCGATCATCATTTTTATAAAAAGAACAACAAACTAGAAAAGAACCAGAAGCACTGATACCATGTAGAAATTTGCGGAATAATTTTTATTGATAGTCAAAATAACATATAAATAGATGAGAGTCTTACATTTAAATAAGTAAAGTACACATAATAATAAATATTCCTAAATATATATTTTCCGGATTTGATAAGATCTCCATTATACGATATATCTCGTAATATTCTTCAAAATCCGGTATATCTCAACATCCCCCTTCAAGTTGGAGCGTGGAAGATCATGAAATGCCCAACTTGCTGAAAAGATGATCAAACGCATGCCGCTTGAACCACATCACCTTGCAAACTTGTGTCAATCATAACTAAAAAAATCAAACAAACGACTGCGCTGAAACTTTGGCACCACGCACAAAAGAATCGTTTGATGATAACAAAAAAAGGGACGACAATCGCGGTGCAGAAAGAAGTCTCGAGAATAACTCTGATCCATCCGAGATTGAAAGGCAACTACGCGAAAACGTTTAATGACAACAAAGTTTTTGGCAAGAATAAGATGATTGGCGGTTAAGCGAATAATCCTTAGAAACATGTGAGATTATGAGAGAAAATAAAAAAAAAACAAAAATAAAATGACTCTCTTATTCTTAATAAAAAAAAAAACTCGAAATGATATTACCACTGGATCAGTATATCATCATCTTCATCTTCACTCTCATTGTCGATCATCATTTTTATAAAAAGAACAACAAACTAGAAAAGAACCAGAAGCACTAATACCATGAAGAAATTTGCGGAATAATCTTTATTGATAGTCAAAATAACATATAAATAGATGAGAGTCTTACATTGAATAAGTAAACTAAATAAAATAATAAATATTTCTAAATATATATTTTCATTATACGATATATCTCGTAATATTCTTCAAAATCCGGTATATCTCAACAAAAATGCGCTTATGATTTACATAATTTACGAGGAATGGTGCATGTTAATATGGAAATACATGCATATGTTTAGTATTATGTATATATATATATATAAGGTGTTGATTACAAAATAAAATAAAAAAAGGAATGCAAACAACTTTGTACACATAGCATGTGAAAGTATTGAAATTTCCGCCTTTGTGTTTGAATTTTAACGACTTTACAACCCTAAAATACTGCTTTCAAGCAAAGTAATTCTATTTTCATTTATTCTTTTCTATTCCAAAACAAGGGTATAGAGACCACGAGACTACTGCAACTTAACACGAAAATCAGACAATAGATTTTTCGTTGAAATTAGGAAAAGGAGATAAAGAGGATAAAGACACAAATAAAGGAAATGGGAAAAGGAAAAAACAAAAATTAAAGAAGAAGAAATGGGTTTGGAACGTAGGTACATGAAGAGCAGCTATATTTATATTCTCATCAATTCCATGCTTATACCAAATAAAAACAATAGAATGAATAGTTCAGCAGACGAATATGGATAATGATTCCTCTAACTTTGATTTACAGTCGATTAACTTAACGAAATCTAACAGTTCAAGTATGTGACATATAAACGTATAAAAACATGTTATCTGAGTAATAGAAATATACAAAATATATTGAAGAAGTTACTCAAACTTGGGTGACATAATGATAAAAAAACATATGCAAAGTATGTTTTTACCATGAGTTTAAATCCAAGCATAGGAAGGATAATTTACCTATACTTTTTCGATCTTTTGAGATATGTAGCTCAGTTAAAGATTCGGTGAACTTATAGATTATAAAAAAAAAATATAGCGAAGAAGTTGAACTAACAATCAAGAGGGAAATGTGAATTATATTGGTTAGGTAGTTGGAAATATGAATGTGAGCTCACTTACCATGTACGGACCATCACCCATATGTTGTGTGTTCTTGCTTTGAGCCTTTAACTTTAGTTTTTTTTTTTTATATTCCCTCTGTTTTCTTTTGTTCTTGCTTTTTTTTTTTGTGGCTTTTGGGAATGGAGGGAGACACGGTGGAAAACAAAAGAGACAAAGCTAAAGAGGCTTTGGTCCTTTGGATTATAGAATTATTATATCTGAAAATATTTATGTATTTCTCCGTCCATCGATGGAAGTTAAGGGTGAAAATTTGAGTTCAGCAATAAACTTGAACCTTATATAATAATAATTTACAACTATTTCCGGTATAAAAATTTATATTTTATAATTTTTCTAAACTAAATATAACAAAATAGTTTTTTAAAATAATATTTTTAATAGAACCTCAGTCTCCAAGAAAACCAAAATCAAGTATAAAAACTAAACATATACACATTAAAAAAAAATAGAATATAGAATTAATTGAAGTGTGAAATATAAGTGAATCTTGAAACTTTCACCTCTACATGTATGTAAGCGTTCAAGGGAAGTAATGCTATACAACCAAATAATAAATTAAATATCTATATATTTAACGTTTAATTGGACCGTAAATGAACCCTTGGGTTCTGAAATGAAACGAAGAGGAAAAACGCCCGTGGGCCTTTGGGAGCCCACTGAAACTTGATCCAGTTCCAGCCGGCCTTCACATGAAGTGACGTCAAAGAGTGCCGAGATGACGTCACACACCTTGTGACAGGTGTCATGCTCGCAAAAGTGCTGTCTGGCTTTCGACCCGTGAGTGGGTTGGTGAATTAGTCCCCTTTTTGCCTTCTCCACTTCCATGTGAGTTATTTAGATATTATACGATTTTAATGAGTTATAAAAAAATATTGGCTTCGGCTCCATTAATGGATAATGATGTCGACTCGTGGGAACCCCATTTCTCTATCTTACACATTCCTCCTACGTATATATATATATATATATATATATCATATTTCAAAATAAGAAAGATAATTCATAAACTTATTTATCAAAAAGATAATTCATAAACCTAACACCGAGAGCTTTTAGACATGTAATGCAATCATCATCATCACAATCCCGACCCAAAAGATTCCTATATATATATATTAATCTCTCCAAGAACCCTAAACCCACCAAAATCATAAACCCATCCAGCCATTATTTTATGTTATTTGTTTTTCTCTCACGATGCATTCAAGAACTCATCCGCTGATCCTTCTGGTTATCATCATGTCAGTGTTTTTGGTGGGTTCGAGCGGGGACAAGGCCCAAGACAAGGAGGAGTGCACGCAAGAGCTCGTGGGACTGGCCACGTGTCTCACGTACGTGCAAGGACAGGCGAAGGCTCCGACGCCGGACTGTTGCTCCGGACTCAGACAAGTCCTCAAGACGAACAAGAAGTGTCTCTGCGAGCTCATCAGAGACAGGAACGACCCTGACTTGGGCCTTCAGATCAATGTCTCTCTCGCACTCGGTCTCCCTTCCGTTTGTCACGCCGCTGCTGACGTCACCAAATGCCCATGTATGTTTAAATTAAATCTGCTGTTTTACATATACTGGATGTGTTTGGGAAAAATTCACGATGATAAAATTAATGGAACGGAAGTCGTTTGCAAAATAAATGTGAATATATGGGTTTTGTTTCTGTTAAGATTTTTTTTTACTGAAGAAAAAACTTTATCTTTTAAAATCCGATTTTCTTTTTCCAAGTTTAATTTTTACTACATTAAAATTTATTTTCAGAAAAAAATGGGCTACTTTTTAAAATCTAAATTTGCATATTTTTTGAATTTTCAAAATTTATAGCTATTATATATATATTGGATTTTAATTAACAGGACATGAATGACCGCCAATCGTTGCAAGTTCACTTATCTTGTTTTGACATTTTTATCGGAAAAAAAAAAAGAAAAAAAACTTTATTTTTCTCTATTTTTTTTGTTGTCGTAACAAAAAAAACTACAGCTCTACTTCATCTGGACCCAAATTCGCCGGAAGCCCAAGTATTCTATCAGCTCGGCAAAGGATTAAACAACACAGGCCCATCTTCTGGGCCCACAAGCTCTACGCTTGGGCCCACCGGCCCATCTCCCACCCCAGGCTCCACCAGCGATGGCCGAGCGACCTCCGTGAGAGGCACGAGCGATGGTCAAACTCAAAGAAAACGATGGCTAGGAATAGAGATTGTCGCCCAATTAGTCCTAATCTCCTCCTTAATCACCCTTAATTAAACACTAAATTTCTATGATGTTGACCTTTGTGCAGTTACGGTATTGATGTGATATCATTTGTCCTTTTTCATACCAAAGGTTGAATGTAAAATAAATCCACCGGTTTGTGTATCGTTGGATATTTGGATTTTATTGGTTTGTTTTTGGGTTTCGATTTTTTTTTTATAAAAACAAATCTATCATTTCGATTTTTTACTTGTTCTTTTTTATAAATAATATTTATTCGGTTTTCATTTTGATTTCTAATCCAATTTTTATTTTAAAAACTTTTGTTTTTTAAATAAAATTCGAATTTAATTCCGTCTTGTGGGATGCTTTATATTGGAATTCAAATTTAAGTTATCTTGGTTTAACAAAAAAAAGATTAAATTAATTTTGTAGATTAAATTTAATTATAATATAATTAGATGTTAGTCAACTTGGTTGGGATAATTTTTATATATATACGAATCTATATCTTCTAAATGGTGTGTCAGAAATAATATTTGATATATTTATTTCAGAAATATTTTATTTTCGAGAATCATAAAATTATTAATTTTGGTCTTAGCTACATATATAATACGCCTTTTTTTTCTCTAAAATTATAAATGATATTTAAATCGTATTACATAATGCCGAGTTAAATATTAATCCAGACCGATCACGTGGTATATACTCTTTGATCTCCCAATCCGATGACTCCACCGCTCTGATTCGAAAGAAGAGGATGCCACGTCTCTCACGCGCTCGTGCTTTATCTTCATCCTCTGTTTTCTTTTCGGGGACTTCTCGTTCAAGCAACAATCTTTTTTTTTTTAAATAAGAACTTCAAGGAAAAAAACACCAGAAGGAAAAGGGAAAAAAAGCAAGAAAATGGGAAAAATTAAGCAAGAGGGTGAATTTTCGTAGAATGGTTTAATCGAACTGGGACCCAACCACAGTTTCGTGTTGTATCTTTTACGATTCTTGATTTGGATTTGGGTGCGAATGTGGCAAATTGCAGTGAAGGTGAGATTCAACCCACACGGAATCTGTGATTCTATCAGTTGAAGATAAGGAGACAAAACTTGCCCATTCCCAAATCCGCTAAGCGACACGACAACACGAATTCCCAGATTATCTTCCAATTTTTTGAGTTCGTATCTGTCTGAATTGAATTTCATATGCTCCACTCCTTCTGGTCAATAATTCAGTAGTACTACTCGATCCCGATTCTTTTTTATTCTTTTTTAAATTATAGGGTGGTGGTGACGTCCTCAAGCAAGGAAGAGATTAGCTTTTATATCTTTTTTGTGTTGAGGGGCCATTGGGACGAGTGCACGGAATTCATCCCCCTCCACGCTCTACTTTTCCTCGGAATGATCTTTTTTGCTTCTGAAATTCTTGTTTCAAGGAGTTGATCGACTCTGGGTATCGGAAGTTTGTCTCTTTTTTCGATTCTTGGTTAGAAAGATCCTTTCTTTTCGTTTCTGCACCTAAAATTTCCTTCCTCTGCTTAATTTTTGGTTCTGGATTTGAAAATTCTCGATGCCCTTTTCTTTTTATGATGCATTATTTAAACCCAATTAAGGTTTAACAGTTTAAACTAGGTTTTGAGAGTATGCAGGGTTCTGTAATGTCTTCCATGGTCGCCTTCTTGCTGCAGATTGTTAAATTCTGGCCTGAGATGGTTAGTTTCATATCTTCTTTTACTTTGCTTTTCAGGTCAGAGTCATAAGAAGCTTCAGTGGCAGAAGGAAAAGCTTTTCCCTTTTAAGGGACTGATTGAGAAATGACGACGTCGGTCTCTGTCAGGGAGATTGGAGAGGATCCATTCACCAAACCCATTGGAAGATGGCCTGTGTTCTTCTATGGAGTTGGCCACATGCTAAACGACATCACTGCTTCGTGTTGGTTTACTTATCTTTTGTTGTTCTTGACTCAAATCGGCCTCTCCCCAACGTGAGTGCAGCTGATTTCATATAACGTTGATAAGTTTTCTTGCATGATTTGGTGAAAATTTAACTGATTGCTTACTTTGTTTTTGTAGGGATGCTGCTATTGTCATGCTTTCGGGTCAGATTGCTGATGGATTTGCTACCATCTTCACCGGTGAATTGGTATTTTGAACTTTATTTCTCTTGTAACTAGAAGAGTTTGTTTTGACCTAGGCTAATGGATTGTTGTTCAGGGCCTGCTTTCATTTTGGTTCTCGTCTTTGATGGGTCGGTTCTATTCTTGTGAAAGGAAAGGTTCTCACACTCGATATAATGCTGTTTACCCAAGTTCGGGTTACGTGTATAAATGTTTTAGTGGATGCAAAGATATATCGAATTGATTCAGGCAATGGAAACGGTGAACACCAGTAAATCCTATTGTTACTTCCTTTTTGAACGTGTGTTCTTTTATCATTCGGGGCAATAACTGTTGTTGAGATAAACTAGATTTGTTCTATATGCAGCATGGAGGAAGAGTTACAATCTTGGTCCATCTATGTCTTTTTCACATGACAGATAGACAGGTTTGGGCATTTCAAAATATGGCATGGAGCAGGATCTGCATTGGTTGCTATCTCCTTTTCCTCGGTTTTTGGTGGTTGTATGCCTTGTTCGATCCTCCACAGCACTTCTTCAATGGTGAAAACCTTCTCGTACAGTGTTTTTGCGGCAATCTTCAATGTAGGATGGGCCGCTACACAGGTTTCCCACATGTAATCATCTTATTTTTGATGATACCCCCCGGTATTTCCATGATTACTCTGTAAAATGTTGAAGCTTTTATGAATAAGCTCTTGCTGTGAATAATGCAGAATTCTCGAGCTCACTAGATGTTTTGATTGCCCTAATGATCTTTGACTTGCTCCTTTTCTGAAGGGCTATGGTCAATTGCATCTCTCTGAATTCAACAAGCAGAGTAGCACTAACAAGCTGCCGCAATGCATTTACTATGGTTCGCTCTTCTTTTTACCCATTACCAAATTCTTCAATGTATGCATTTTTGTAGCGAGTAAGCTTGCCTGTCCTAATTTGTTGGCAACTTGTTTCAGGTTGCTAATCTAAGCTTGTATGCCATTGCTCTAGTAGTGTTTGGGTTAGTCAAGGGTCAGACTCTAGAAAATACCGAAAGTCAGGTTTGTATTCATATAGATTTAAGTTTTAACTATGTATATTGCAGCAAATGCTTCTGGATACAAATGATTCTATGTTGGCCTTTTAAGTTGGCAGTATCGCTGGATTGCGTATTCATCCATCACTCTTGGCTGCTGCTTCGTGGTCATATTTCTTATGGGGACAAAGGAGCCAGGGTATGCAAAAATCTCTGAAATATTTCGTCAATTTGACAGATCAAGAAGTCCATAACCAAAGAGAAGTATTTACATCTTGACATAGAGAATATTGGTAGATTTGTAGTATATTTTCTTGAAACCAGTTGCCTTTTGTTTTTGTCAAAAGGTTGAGGATTTGTCTAAGAGAAAATAGCAATATCCAAGCAAGAATTTCATGGGTCTACTGGTTCCGTAAAATTCTATACTATCAAGTCGCTGTGGTTTACGTTCTCACCCGATTAGTATTGAATGTTTCACAGGTCAGTTTCCGCCTCTTTCGTTAGTCTCTGTTCAAACCCTTTGATAAGGATGGTTCTAACTTCCAAGATTATTCTCCCTTTTCCAGGCATATCTCGCATTCTTTGTGATTGATGATTTGCAAATGGTTCAATCAGCTAAGGCTTTGGTACGCAATCGATTCACATTAAACGATGACCCTTCTCAGTTGTAGTCATTTTGAGCGTTGCTTTGAATTTTTAAGGATAAACTCTATAATTGATTTGCTGTCTGAATAATGGCATTTCCACCAGGTTCCTGCAATAATCTATATCAGCAGCTTTGTTGTATCGGTTCTTCTTCAGGTGCTAGCCTTCAGAACTTCCAACCTGTCTCTAAAACTTTTCCTTTTTGGTTTTGTTTTCAAGTTCTATTATATGTGACAATTATATACCCATAATATAGGAGATTCCATGGAACGGGAAACGTTTGAAAGCATATTATTGCACTGGTGGCATCCTCTGGATATTCTGTGGTGCAGCCATCCTTCTCTTGCCGAAAAGCATAAAGTCTTTCATGTATGCCATCTCTGTTTTCATTGGTATCGCCAACGCATTAATGACGGTATGATAACTGTCCCCTCTCTCTTTCGACATCTTCATATATTTTTCTACCGAAGCTCACATTTTAGAATGAAATTACAGGTGACGGCAGTGAGCATGCAGAGTGTATTGATCGGTGCAGATCTCAGTGGATGCGCGTTTGTTTGTGGATCGTTAAGCTTCTTGGACAAAATATCATGTGGGATCGCTCTTTACGTTCTTCAGTCACACCAAAGTAAGAAATTTCACTATTTCTGTCTCTCCTGGCCTCACCAACAAAGTCGGAAACTGCAAGAACTTATAAAAAGGAAATGGTACATGGCGTATTGATTGGAAATGACTGATATGTTGCAGGTACTGCGCCAAGAATCCAATTAAATGGCGACAAATTACAATATTTTTCAGTGACAAGATATGGATTAGGTCTTGTCCCGGCACTGTGCTCACTTCTCGGTGTTGCCGTAACGTGGACTATGGAACTCCAAAACACGATCCCGAAGCCTCTGGTCGAGCCCCTTCTAGAATGACCAAACATACTAGAATGGTTAACATGGTAACCTCAAGCTATAGAATGTTTGTTTCAGAAATAATTTCTCTCTTCTAATTTGTTACGGTGGATGCATTACACAGTTCCTTTTCTAAAAATCCATACTCATTTAGTCATTTGTTTGGTTCATCATGGACAGATCATACTGTAGTTACAGGAATCTGTACCAGAATTACTTAAATGTAATGGAATTTCGATTTCTTTTGTGTAATTCCATACTCTTTCATCTCTGTCTTCCTAGCATGACATTCTTCTTCAGACCTGGAAGATGTACATCCAGGAAGTAATGCTCCCAATCTATGCTTCCTGTGTTTAACCCGAACATCTCTCTCTCTTCTGTTGTCATATCCTCCATCAGCTTTTGGGTATTGGTGTTGTCAAACCTAGTACAAGGGCATGTTAATAGCCTGTATGTTCTCATTGTCATTGCCCCGATTTTATGAAAAAGAAAAATGGGATTGTTACCGTGCTTTTGTAAATGCTATTGGCTCGTATGCTTTGGCCATGCGCATGATATACTTTATTTTCCTCTCGCTTTTCATCTTCGATATCGTGCATAGGTTTCCATCTTTCTTCCTGTCTTGCTCGGTCATGATGTTGGATATGTAGGGGGAGAAATCCTCCAAGGATAGGTGAAATGTTGCTGGCTCTATCATTATGTCCTCTCCTTTGGAGTCCCTCAGTGGAGAGCGAGAGAAATATCGACGAGCAAGGTCCGAGAGCTGGTAAATCAGCAGTGGGTTCACAGCAGATGAAGTGGCATGGTACACGTTCAGGTCGGGATTTGCTTCCACCGCATGTTTTGCCATGGCTGCCATTGCTGTGTTCACTACCATATCCACAGGTACCTGCTCTCCAGATTTTACCATTAGCTAAATTCAGATCTCAGTGCATCACTGTATTTCTCTTGCATTTTGGTAAGAACTCAGACTGATCCAAGGAATTCGAAGGAAGAGGAAAAGTAGCCACTTACAAAGTCGACCACAGCTTGAGGGTCACCAAAAAAGCCCGGGAGCTGCCCTTTGCCATAGGCCAAGAGAAATGGATCCACCATTCTGTTAGCGAAAGTTGGGGCTTTTATTCTTCTTCAAGAGTAGTGAATGAGCCAGAAGAAGCTATCCTTTTCTGTATCCTTTGATGGAGAAAACGAAAAGAAGGAAACGATTTTACCTGTTGCCTTGTATCAAGCCGGGGAAAGGCTCTTTGTAGGAGCTTTCGATGGCACTTGGTCGTATGATCACAACAGGCAGATTGCCTCGGGAGCTTTCTATCACCATCTCTCCCATTGCTTTGGTGAAAGTGTAGGTATCTTGATACCCATGGGTTTTGGCTCTGGTTTTGACAAAGATTGAACATGAAAGTTATAGCCTCTAAAGATGCAGTGAAGTTACAGAAACTGGTCTGCGACATGTATGAGTGAAAATGAGAAAGGATAGCTGCACCGTTCATGACCAAGTTCCTTCATTTTTCGGGTCAATTCTCCGTGACGGGAAGATCTTGTAGCTTCTGAAGCTAGCTCCACCTCAGATTCAATTTTCAATCTGCCAAGAGGAGTCTCAGGTACTATCCCCCTGTCTCATTCCATTGACATATGCTATAAACAGAAGAAGAAAGATGTAAAAGGTCAAGACTTTCTTCCTCTGCAGTTTTCAACGGTGTGTGGCCTGTAAAATCCTACCGGTTGAGAAATGCAGAAAAAGATTCAGTTTTTCGCATTTCTTGGTAAATCTCATGAGCTGGTCGGGTCCCAGTTTGTTGGTGCTGAGAGCCAAATCGGACCTGTTCCGTTTAGCATTTCTTTTAAAGAGTCTTGCCCTTGGAAGAGAGAAGAGAAAAAATTTGGTCGGAAGTAGGGATGCAGATGAAAGATAAAAGAAAGAACCTGTCGTCAAAGGTTGTTCTGGCAGCAGAGCTGACGATAACATCGATCTCCTTGGCGATCTTGTTGGCTGTTCCAGAATCCATGCCGAGGTTGTTAACTGAAATGTCTCCGACTACTGGAATCAACTTGCTCGTCATGAAGCCTTCATAGGAGTGCCCATGTGTTTGCCTCAGAAGCTCGAAGAGGTCCGAGTTTATGATCTGAGAAGTGAAAAAGTAAAAAGGAGATGACAAAAAGGAAACTACTTGCAGGAACAGAACAGAACCTCATCGTAGAGTCTCTTCTTGGCGGCTTCTTGGTCCTTGGTCTTCATCAGAAGGAAGATCTTTCCTGTCTCTGGAGCTGCTCTCAACGATTTCTCGATGAAAACTGTGATTTGTAAGTCGATAATCTCAGTCATCATATATACCAATGAACACTTTTGGTTGGTCAAGACCAGAACAGTGAGAACCATGGTGTGTACGGGTAGCATGGATTCAAACCCTAAAACCACCAAAGTAAACTGAAAATGGGTTTGTACCTTTGGCGAGGAACCCTGTCGCGCCGGTGATGAAATAGCTCTTCCCCTGCATGAAACTGACGATCCTATTCCCGTCCGAGATTCCGGGCACTGGCATTGCAGCTTTTGGAGTCTTGTCCTGATGACAAGCGGTAAGCCCATGAGGTGACCGTTGACATGCTGGCTTCCGACAAGAGAATTCCGGTGTTTTGCCGAAGTTGAAGTGGGAAACAGCGGTCGCCATTGTAGGAAAGGTGGTGGTGGTCGTGTAATGCACGGCCATTGTATTTTTTGCAAAGGAACCTTTTACAGGGTTTGCAAGTATCGTCTTTTGCCTTGGCCTGTGCATGTGTTTATACAGAAGAACTGCAACATCTGATATCTGTCTTTGCATCGGTTGCATTCTCCTCCTTGTGTTTTTGATGATTTGTATTTATATTTAGGAGGTTTTTTGAGATGAATATGGTTCTAGAAGTTTTTTTAGTTTCATCCTTCCATCTTATTATTCAGGTCATTATCATCTTATATTTGGGCGGTCCATTAATGGGCTTCTTCATTGGTTACTTGGTCGGCCCATTTTACTTTTAGGCTCAAATCCAAATCTCGCCCCATCCACATAAATATTGCCCACGTCATCGCCATCGTCATCATTTTCCCTGTTGGAGCACATCTTCCTGGTAAGTGGTAACTACTAACCATCAATGTCTTCTCCCCTCAGTTTCGTTTCTTCTCTACTGATCGGCTTCTTGGATGGATCAAGAGAAGGGCGAGTTAATCTCGATAGTATGTCCTGTGCAGTTACCGTGAGCAACTCTTCAATGGTGGACATCTTCTTATCGTTCAGCGGTTTTGCAGCAATATCTTACACCGAAGGATTGGCTGCTTCAGATGTCTCCTACATGTAATCATCTTCCCTTTCACTGAATTTCGTTCGCATATCTCCATGTTTGTCTGTCCAATGTATGTTTGATTACTCTCTGTAAAGTGTCGAAGCTTTTAGGGAAATAATCGTAGTCTCAACGGAGAAAGATTAAGAATGAACTCTTGTCGTAGACATTACAGAAGTCACTAGTTAACTAGATATGTTGATTGTCCTAATGCTCAATGCATCGCAGAAGTTTCAGGCAATACTCTTCTTCTACTGGTTTCCGTTTCTGACGGTAGATTGTGTTCAGAGTTCATATATGACATATGCATGATAGGGATGGTTAATGACTCGGGAGAAGGAAGAATATGTTTCTGATCCAGTAACCGCAGGCCACAAAATGATTGTTTACGACATATTTTCTCTCTCTTCTAATTTGTTTATACTTGATGCATTACATAATTCATTTAGAATCTCTTGTTCTACAGATCCACACATCTGGATCTTGTTCATGAATGATTAGATCATACCGCAGACAGCAGCTAGTACATGTACCAGAAATACTGAAACTTGATGGAATTTGAATCCCTTGCGTTCTCTCAAACTCTTTCATCTGGATCTGCCCTGCATGACATGCCTCTTCAGACCCGGAAGATGGACATTCATGAAATAGTGCTCCCAGTCTATGCTTCCAGTGTTGAACCCAAACATCTTCCTCTCTTCCAATGTCATGTCTTCCAACAGTTTTCGAGTATTGGTGTTGTCAAACCTAGTGCAAGGATGCGTCAAAAGCATGTATGTTCTCATTGTTGTTGCTCATATCTGCCAGAAAGAACGCTAAGATGCTTACCGTGCTTTAGTAAATGTCACTGGCTCGTAAGCTTCGGCGATGTCCACGAAATACTTTATTTTCTTCTTGCATTTCGTCTCTGTTATTGTGCGTAATTCTCCATCTTTCTTGGATTCTTGTTCTGTTATTGTGTTGGATATGTAGGAGGAGAAATCCTCCAAGGAACGGTGCAACTTCATTGGCTCTATCATTATGTCCTCTCCTTTGTAGTCCCTCAATGGAGAACGGCAGAAATGTTGATGAGTTAGATCAAAGAGCTCATAAAGCAGCAGTGGATTCACTACAGATGAAGTGGCATGGTAAACATGCAGCCCGGGCTTCGCATCGATGCCATGTTTTGCCATGGCTGCCATTGCTGCATTCACAGCCATATCCACAGGTACCTGCTTCCGAGATTTTACCATTAGTAAAAGTTTTTAGAAGATTTCATTGCATATTGCTATGTTTCTCTTGGACTTTGAAAGGCATTTGAAAGTGAATCAGGAACTGAGTCTGATCCAAAGAATTAACAAAGACGAGGAAAGAAAAGGAAAGGCAGCTGCTTACAATGTCAACTACAGTTTGAGGGTCACCCAAGAAGCCAGGGAGCTGTCCTTTGCCATAGGCTAAGAGCACTGGATCTGCCATTCTGATAGCCAAGGGAGGAGAGGGTTTTTTCAGCTTCTCAATGAGTAATGAATGAGCCAAAAATTTGCTATTCTTATCTGTATTCTCTGATGGAGAAAAAAGGGAAAAGGGGAGGAAAATCTTTACCTGTTGCCTTGTATCCAGCCAGGGACAGGTTCTCTATAAGAGCTTTCAATGATACTAGGACGTATGATCACGACAGGCAGATCCCCTCGCGAGCTGTCTATCACCATCTCGCCCATTGCTTTGGTGAAGGTGTAAGTGTTTTGGAACCCGTGGATTATGGCTCTGGTGTTGATGTTTTCACAAGATTGAAGGTGCAAGTTAGCTATGAAGGTTGGTTGAAGTTACAGAAATCGGTCTGCTCTATGCATTAGCGTGCAAGTTAGCCTCACCGTTCATGACCCAATTCCTTCATTTTCCGGGTCACTTCTCTGTGATGGAAAGTTCTTGCTGCTTCTGAAGCAAGTTTCACCTCAGATTCAACTTTCAATATGTGAAGAGGAGTCTCGGGTACTATCCCCTGTCTCAGTCCATTCACATAAGCTATAAACAGAAGAAAGGTGCAAAGGTTTAAACTTGCGCTCTATGCTTATTCCCAGGAAGATATTTTTGGTATGCAAACTCCTACCGGTTGAAAAATGGAGAAAAAGATTCAGTTTCTCGCATTTCTTGGTAAACCCCATAAGCTGGTCAGGTCCCAATGTATTGATGCTCAGAGCAAAATCGTACCTGTTCCAAACGAGCAAGGTTATCATATCGGGGATAAGAGTGTTGCATTTAGAAGCAGAAAGCAGAACAGAAAGTGGGTCGCAAATAGAAAAGCAGAGGAAAGACAAGGAACCTGTCGTCAAAGGTTGTACTGGCCGCCGAGCTGACGATCACATCGATCTCCTTGGCGATATTTTTGGCCGTTTCGGGGTCCATTCCAAGATTGTTTTGTGAAATGTCTCCCACTACTGGAATCAACTTACTCGTCATGAAGGCTTCGTAAGAGTTCTGGTGTGTTTGCTTCAGAAGCTCGAACAGGTCGGAGTTGATGATCTATAAGAACGCGAGTGAACAAGTAAAAATGGGGAAAAATATAGTGGAAAAAGGGCTGGCAAAATCTACGTGTATAAGAAAAGAACCTCATCGTAGAGTCTCTTCTTGGTGGCTTCTTGATCTTTGGCCTTCATCAGAAGGAAGATCTTCCCTGTCTCGGGGGCTGCTCTCAACAATTTCTCGATGAAAACTGCGATTTGTAAGTCGATAATCTCAGTTATCTCATATACTATGGAACACTTTTGATTAATTAAAAAACTGTCATATGTTTGCAGGGAAGCACAAGACCTTCTTCAAAGAGCGTCAAATCGAACGAAGCAAGTATAACTTAACATAAAAACAGAATTATGACAGAGACGGACAGACTTGGAGGCAAAGAGAGGCATGGGGAAAAACTGCTGAAACAGTTTTCCACATGTAAAACGTGCGCAAGTCAGACGCTAAGAAGAGAGAATACAAAAGGGCCATGTAACCAAACGCCATTCGTCTTAGATTTTCTTTACTACTTTGATCAACATTCTGAGAACATAACAATATGGATCCAGACACTGAAAGCCAGAGTCACTACGCACATAAGTAGTTGTGTACCTTTGGCAAGGAAACCAGTTGCACCCGTGATGAAATAGCTCTTCCCCTGCATGAAACCGGAGATTCGGTCGCGGTCACATGCCTCGGTCACAGGCATCTCCAGTGGACTCACTGCTTTTGGAGTCTTCCCGCCTTGACAACATGTAATAACTCGACCAGATGGAATCGGACAGTATCGGAAGTCGTATGATCTGCGTAAGAAGAGACCGTTGCGACAGAAACTGAAGTCAGAAACCGCGGTCACCGTGGTGTTCATGTAATGGACGGCCATTGGTATTGGCAATGGAAGATGGTGGAGTTGCAGGTATTGTTGTTCTCTTTGTTTACTAACTAGTGGAAGTGAGATTTATAGAGCGAAGCGAAGAACACGACATGAGATGGGTCGCTGCCACGTGTATAGAAGATCCATGCATTTATATACAAGGAAGTTTGAGGAAGGGATAGAATTCAATGCAACCTTTACGTGTGGTGAGGACTTCTGGTAAAAAAAGCAAATAGTAATCTCACTTGGAGTAAATGGGGACGGTAAAAAAATTACATGTACAATTAATTAAACCGGACAAGTCACAATAAATAATATCCACAGTGGTTAGCTGTGACCAAATTAATTTCGCAACAAAACAATATACACTACAATTTAATTCTTCAAATTTCACATGGTAAAAGAAAAAAACGTAAATCATAATATATATGTAAATCAGATAAAAATAAAACTAAACATATTTTATTTTATTTGCACGATTGGACACAAGCTACAATTTAATTATTCAAACTTTATTCATCACCGGCCCAACTTCCTTTAACCTTGGGCCCAGTGGGCCCATCTTCACCAAACACTTCATTAGGAATCTTCCTCACAAAGTTAGCAAAGGCCTTTTTCAGAAACCCCGGCAATATCTTCTCGATGTCCTTAGCCTCGCCATTGATGTCGTAATCGATCTTCGCTCCCCATTTCCTCATGTAATTCACCCACGGCGGCTCCTCCTCCGCGACAACCTCGTACGCCGTTCCAGTGTCAATTACCTGTTTGCCTTTCGCGGTGTCGTTCCTTATCCCGACATCGTTGTCTCCTTGCAACACGAGCCCTGGTTTCGGGTACATCGCGTGGCCGTGCAGGGACGAGTACGTCACGGGTTTGTTTCCTCCTTGGAATTCCAAGTCGCAGGCTTCAACCCAAGTGCCGCCACTGTGTTGCGAGAAGTACACGCGCCGTAACGCGCCGTCGAAGTTGCTTATGCGTAGCGTGAGGTGTTCCCAGTCTCCAATGTGTTCGCCGATTTTCCCCAATGAGATGTTTATGATTTTGACTTTGGCTCGGGCAGGTCCGTTGAAAGGGTAGAAAACCCAGATGGCAATGTCGGTGAATGTGGCTCCAAACATTGGTTTCACATGTAAGTACACCTTCGTGTTCTGTAAATCTCCTTTCTTTACCCTTTCCTTTTCCTTTTTGTCAACAGGGAGATCTAACCAGTATAATCCGTCGTTAGATCCGCCTTGTGGGAGGTTTGATCCGTTTGGTTGGATTGGGTTTGGTCTTGATTCTTCCCCTTGCTTGTATAGCAAGGCACCGTTGCTGAAGTACCAATTAACCGAAGAAGGAAGATATTCTTCGTCTGGGTGGAAATATATCCATGGAGAGTATGTCTGAAACAACGCTACGACCTGAGACTCGTTTGGCATGCAAGAAAAGTCGAATTTCATGTTCTTCAAGCAAGATAATGACGGAGGAGTGGCATTTTGCGTTTGCCATGAAAATGACCCTACAGATACACCAGTAGCTTGTGTTCCCCTGTTTCTCGGCCTCAAGCTTGAAATGCTGACTCCATTAGTTCCCCATATCCACTTGTCAGCCTCACATTGTTCTGTCAGATCGGATCGAACACAACGGATATTGTCCAAAGGTGGTTTCTGAGGCGAGTTAGTGACCACAAGGCCAACCGCCGTATACCCATCAGGCGGAACCGGCTGCCAGACATATCCGGCACCATCTTGTTTGATCTTGAGTGATTCAGTGCTACCTACAAGACTATAGTCAACGGGAGTTTCCAATGTATTGCCAGACGCATCTTTGGCCGCGAGTACCCAACCAAAAAGGGGACGGTTGTTGGGTTGAGCATAGAAGCCAAGGATTGAGAACCCTGGAGGGACAGAAGCGGGTTCGAAGAATGTAGCGCCGAGGTTGTCTGGTCCTCCCTCGTTCGTAGTCCAGACTTTGTTAAAGGTCGAGACTTGACAAATCTGGAGCCCTCCCAAATCTATGATTCCTTTTGCAAACCCTCCACCTAACAGGAAGACAAGTACAGAAACACATTCGGTATGGATATTATTACCGAGAAGCAGTTTGATATATATAACCATGTGGATGTACATTGACATGTATACGAACCTTGAGGCCAAGAAGGCAAAGGAGAGGGAAACTTGAAGGCGGCGTCGACAGGTAAAGCCTTGGAGGCCCTTTCCGATACATTCACAGGAGGAAGTGTAAGGCAATTCCCCATCCTTGAAGATGATCAGAACTCGGAAGAGAGGGAGAGAGAGATCGAGAGAGAGAGAGAGAGAGAGAGAGAGGAGATCGTCGTCTATTATATAAACACAAAATGAGACTTATTTTACTTGAACTCGTTGAGGACGGAACCGATGCGGGGACGCTAAGGGGATAGTTGAAGAGAGCATATTCTGTGTTTCTTGACGGAGGCAACGCAATCTAAGCGTAGAAGTCAACGACGGCCTATGCAACGGATGGTGTCGTGCAAGGTTTATCCATATATATATATATATATATATATGGAAAAATTGGTATTTGTAATAATGTATATCTTACAATGTAGCACCAGACAACGACGTTGTGCTCAGCCATTTTGTTTGCGGGTTCATGATCAAATGGGGTTTCTTTATTTATGGTTAAATTGACGTATGGTTATGATATTGATCATCTTTTTCTTGACAAATATAAATGTTGGCATCAAATATAGGTACGGTTAGGGGTCCACGTTTTAAATTGGCTATATTTTGATGTTTTTCTTTTAATCTATAGATTCGTTCTTCTGTAAAATATGTATATTCAATTTCTATATTTTTTCAATTTTATTTCATTTTTCATTAATAAAAACATTTTTTTACAAAAAAATAAGTAATTTTTTCGCTTATCTTTATATTTTGTTCAACTTTAAATTTAATTAGTTCAAATACACGGTAGGCAAAATGTTCAACATTAGTAGATCAACCACTCAAGGAAACCCTTGAAATGCATGAGAAAATGTTGTAATCCAGCCATTTTTTTAAATAATCTGAAAATTAATGATGTTATTGATCCATCTACATATTCCATAGAACCGGGTAATCCAGTGAATTTCTCCTCTTGTGATTGGTTGTGTACATTTATATTTAGTTCATTACAATTAATTAGATATTTATATTTGTACAGCATATATAATCGTCCCACCCACCCATCATTATGTTTTCTATTAGAAGTATAAATGCATGTTTTTTTTTATTAGAAGGAGAAGACGTGTAGTTTACGTCCGTTAACTTTTGTTAGTCACTTTTGACGGCGTTAGTTCGTTGGCAAGAGAGAGACGCTGCTTTGCTTCTGCTCTGTACTTGGAACTCTGTTTCTTTGTTCGTAAGTTAATAGTTAATACAACGACAAGTTTCCCAAGTATGTTCTTCAATTCATTACAAATACACAATCGCTTCTTAAGGGCATGAAGCGTTGCGATCAAGATTATAGAAAAATATTTTTCCATCCATTATGAATCTCTCTTTATCACTTTATTATGTTATATAAAAGACATATTAGTTGATATATAACCTTAGTACTTCTAACAACAACACAAAATGTTGTTAAAGGAAATGAATATGGGTGGGCTCATGGGCATCTACTGTTCAGACCAGGACCTCCATAGTAAAAGTAAGTTCCCCAACTCTTGCTTGACGATATCTTCACGTCATAACAGTGTGGGTTTGTAGTGCCGGGTTTGAGTGTCCCTGGATCTCTCAGGACATTTTCCATATCGAATACACCTAAGTTTCGGAAATAACTCGCCTCTCGAAACCGTTCATATGGAAAACGTCCACTCCCCATATCCGTGGTAGTGTGTTTCCCGTTCATTCTTTTGTTTAGAATTTCGCCTCCCCAAGTAATACCTGTTGCACCGTTTGCTAGGTTCGGGACTATAGATCCTGGCCAGTACCCTACCATTGTCCCCTGGTACCCTAACCACCAGTTTCCTGTTGTTTGATCCTAAGATACCAAAGGATGATTTGGATGAACACACAAGAATTGCTTGGACAACAAGGAATCGATCTGAATAGAGTTTGTACTTCACCTTCTTGATAATTAATGTGATCCCATATTGGGCGCCACCAAAGGCCGATATGGGTCGGATAGATGCCCCGAGGGCAATTGTCCTGCTGGTCTGAACAAAGCCTGGGCATACATGATTGTAGCAGCCTGTTTCTCCGTATGAATCCCTCTATTTTCAGTTCATAGAACGTTTTAATTAATTCAACTTCCATGGACGAAGGAAAAGAAGCTCGCGAAAGATAAACGACAAAAAAAAAAACTAGACTGCGACTGAAATCGAGGAACTAAACTTACGGTCCAGTAAGCGAATAGTCTTGGGTTGTTATCTTTGTATAAACGTTTGTAAACCTATCATTACAATGAATAATATGGAGTTTCACAGTTTGATAAAAGTAAAAAAAAATTCAAAAGGAGAAATATATGTATATACCTGCCAACCGGCTTCCAAGGTATTCAAATCAATATCATGAACACCGCTTGTAACCCAAATCTGAGACAGGCTAAACTCGTTAGCGTATTGGACCCACGGCTTCCATACATTCATTCGTGCCTTTGCTCCATTATACCAACCTTTCGTTGCAAACGCTACTGCATACTAAAGTGGCTCCAAAATGTGGAAAATAAAAAATTAAAAATAAGCGAAATATAATATCGTACTATGTCTGGTTTCGGAGGTGCGGGCGAATATATATATATACCTCGTGTTCTTTCGGATCACGTATACGATGATTTGAAAAATTAGGGTTTGAGGTCTTATTTTGATACTTTTTCCCATATTTCTCGTCTCTTAGCAAGTCTTCTTTTGTTGTTCTTCTGATTGGAACGGTATTTTCCGGACATTCACCATTCGTTCGCCAAAGTTGAGATATACTGTCCGAATTCGTGCCGTTACCGAAAGCATCGCTTGTGGAAAGATCTTCTATATCGAAACTCGGCCTCATCTATTTAAAATATTTATCACCGGATCGGATGATATCATAATGGAATAAATATTAGGAACAATAAAATAGAAGAGAGAAGAAAGAGTTTGGATATTTAAAATAGATACATGAAACTGTGTAGAAAACCTGGATGGTGTGGTCTCTAAGGAGAGGGTCGTCGAAAGCCGGTTGTTCGGTAATAGAAACACAATCTATGATATCTCCATCTGGACTCTGTTTAATATATATATATATATGTTAAATGAAAGATTCTGTTTTAAAATAGTCCAAAACTTAGGAGTATATAAAATCAAATTCTCCATGAAACTTGTGAACATGGTTACACTAACAAGTACAAACATAAACGTCACTAAAAGAAGAGGTTAGTTATTTCTGTTAACGAAAGAGGCGTTTCAATGGTGTTGGGCTCTTGGGCCTAAGACTTCTGCGGCCCATTTTAGTATATACATGTACTGTTTACCTCGATGGATTTAAGAGCTGGTTTGTTGAGTTGCTTCAACCGGAGTTGGATCTCCCGGGGATCGGGAAACCCGCTTTTTCCGGCAGAAGCTCCGATGGTGTTCAATATCATCACAAGAACGAGGATGAAACTGGCCGTCCGATTGATCATGAAGAGATTGATGGTCATGATTAGATCTTTAGATTAATTTCTTAGAGAATTATAGCATATAAATAACTGATTTTCTTTGGGTGGGCCATAGGTGTGGTGCTTTATAAATGTTTTGTGTGTGTGTGTATGTCTGTATCTAAAATATGGAAACAAATTAATGTGTTACCAATCCATGTTTTCCACCATTGTTTTGGCAGTTCACTTAATAATTTACAAGACAGATTTCGATGCATATGGTAATAATGTCATACCATATCTAAGATGATAACGTGTTAATAATTTGATACGTTTCTTCCTTTTTTATTTTTAATCAAATTTGGTGTTAAAAAAATTAGCATATGATTCTAAATAACAATTAGATATAAAAAAAAACCTGAAAAAGAAATTAAAGAGCTTTGGATATTGTAATTTGTTTATTCAAAATATCATATCGTCAAGATACATGGATAGATAGAACAGTCTCATGGGCAACGAGGGTTTCTACCGGGACCGCCATAGTAGAAGAAGGTTCCCAAAGGGCCACTTCGGTCCGGAATCAAGTTGTAGCAATTATGGTCAGTAATGTAAGGGTGAAGACTTTCAGGATCTTTCGGCACACTCGTCGTATCTATCACGTATAGGTTCGTGAAGAACGCGGCCCGACCGAACCCTTCCTCGGGAAAGTGACCACTCCCCATCTCTGTGGTCGTGTGTTTTGTCCTCATAAAGTTCGTGATTTCGCCTCCCCACTGGACCACGGTCGCATGGTCTGACAGCGCCGGGACCACGGAGCTCGGCCAGTACCCCACATTGCTCTCTCCCACACTCACCCACCAGTTTCCGTTTCTTAGATCCTTACACATGAAATAAAAAAATGTCTTAGAATGATTGGTAATAATTTCGATAAGGTCATTTGTGATCTAATTAAGACCCAAGAAACTTTTATTAATTCCGCAACATATATGAATTTTTATATGGGAACGTTACATATCTGAACGCATTTAATTTGGAATTTGTAGGATGAACCCATGCATGTCCAACATACCTTCCATATCTGAACGAACATGTCCGTCTGGACTCCGCCATAGGTCGAAGTGGGCTCTAGGGTCTCGCCCAGGCGAATCTCTTGGTTGACGTAAACAAAGCCCGGACAGTAAGTGTTGTAGCAACCACTGTTGTACGAATCCCCCTGTTTTGTTTTGTACGAAAGAACTTGTTGATCACGTGACTTGGTTTTCGGTCTATCAAACAACCGATAGAGGAAATCTCAAAGACAAAGGAAGGACTTACGGTGTAGTAAACGAATAGTTTCGGGTTATTGTCATTCCCATAACCCTGTGGATACACCTGATGCATATAACCATATCATAATAATTAGAAAACGGAAATAGGGCAAAGTTTATAGCTAGGGATTGCAAAGATGGAACTAGGGCAACATAATCAACAAAAAATGAAACGGGAGAGAGAGAGAGAGAGAGAGAGAGAGAGAGAGAGAGAAGGAAGAACCTGCCAACCAACTTCCAAGCAACTGATGGGATCCGAGTTGCCACTCTTGACCCACATCTGAGCCAAACTGAACTCCCTACGTATTTGGACAGTGGGTTTCCATAAATTTATCCTGGCACTGGCTCCAGTGAACTGCCCATGCATGGCGTTCACTATCGCATACTGAAGCACGTACTCGAAAACGTTATTAATTTGAAACGGAGAGATAGTCCAAATTACACGTGCATACGTATACATATACGTATATAAGCGATTATACCTCGTGGCCATCAGTAGGGTATTTGGAGCCATTTATTATCGGAATGTTTCCCTTAAGTTTGTTCATTAAATCTGCTATTAACAAATCTTCTCTCGTTGTTCTTTTAATGGGAACCGTATTCTTGGGGCATTTTCCAGTCTTGGGCCACAGTCGCGTAGCCGCCGTCCCCTCTTTAGAAGCTTCTTTGCCTTTGGAAAGACTTTTCGGGTAGGAACTCGGCTCCATCTATTCATGATACGCCATGGAGATGGCACGAACAAACGTTGCAACATGAGATGATGAACAAACCGTAGAGGAACTAAAAATACGATCTCAAGATATGGATTTTTTCAGAGAAGTTGGAATCAAGATTTGGGAATTACCTGGATGGTATGGTTCCTCAACAAAGGATGATCGAAAGCCGGTTGATTGTATATATATACGCAGTCGAAAATATCTCCATTGGAACTCTGTTTGACAATCAAGATGATACTAAAAATGTTCAGACAGAAACTAGAAAAAACATAATTGGAGCGTCGACAGATTCTGGTGAATCTATTTTTTTTATAAAAAAAATGTTAAATAAAGAGAAAACAAAATAAAATGAACTTTTCATTTCTAACAAAAAAACCATTATTTTTTTTGTTAGATAAATATTAAACTTTTTAAATTTGTCTAAAAAAATATTGAACTCTTTTACAATTATAAAAATAAACAAAATAAGTTGACGTACTGTAAATAAATGCTAACACTCTAATTGTTATTTTTCTAATCGCAGATAATTTTGATATTTTTTTGAATCACTAAAAAAATTGAATATTTTTTTGGATCATTTAAAGAGTTTAGTGTTTTTTAGAGTAAATTTAAAAGTTTAACGTGTATTTAACAAAAAAAAAAAAAGGTTTAATGTTTTCCTTAAATAAATGGTTAAGTACCAAAAAGAAAGGTAAGTTGTAAGGGTTTACATTGATGGATTTGACAGCGGGCCTGCTGTTGAGTTGCTTCAATCGTCTTTGAATTTCGACCTCCCCGAGATCGGAAAATTTGCGTTTCCCTATAGAAGCTCCGGTTGCATTCGCTAGCATCATCATCAGAACCACCACGAGACTGCCAGTTCCATTTTTCATGGTTATAAGTAAATAATATCAAAGGTCTCGAATTTTGGTTGGATGGTGAGATGAGTGTTTTGGTTTTTATATATATATGTATATGTATGAGCAGGCGATATATGGAATGTAATCTTCCCTTTCGTCTAACTATAGAATAATGAATATGAAAATAAGTAAATATGGAAATCAGAAAAAATAAATGTCTAAATATCCACAGAATTTCAATGTTGTGCATTTTATAATTCAACGCAAAAATGGAAAAAAATTCTGTACTCTAAAAAAGGCAGGATAGATATTTAATTTTGGAAAAAAAAACATAGAGAAAGATGAACGTCAATTGCATCAAATAAAAATAAGTTTCTCTTTTGCTTCAATAAGCATCAATTAGCATGTTGAATGTTTTTTTTTTCAAATTATCTAAATAAAAATATCAGACCATCACTTACTTTAAAAAATCTTCTACTTAGTAAGGAAAAAACTAAACTATGTTGACTTAACTTCAGCATAAAAAACTAAACAATTAAATTTACACCAAAAATTCTTTAAACCATCACAATTACATATATTTTCTTAATCTTACTCTATATATTATTTATAAAAAAATAAAAGGGATTAATTTACTAAAAAAATACATGAAAACTCCCAAAAAAACACATCAAATTGCAATTTTTTTCCTAAATTCCTATGTTCCAAAAATCCGGCAATAATTTCTGATTTGAAACAATAATGTGGCTGACCGAAATATAATCAATAAAAGGAAGCTTGGTATTATTAATCACATATGAAGGTATTTATACAAATAGGTTAACCTAATAATACACATGTAAAAATACATATTTATCCCTCTATACGCCCCCTCAAGATGGAACACCGGAGGTGAGTCCAATCTTGACAAACAAGTCATGAAACGGAAACTGAGGCAAAGGTTTCGTGAGTGCATCGGCGACCTGATCGGCAGCAGAAACATGTGTAACACGTAGATCACAAGACTCAACAAGACCCCGAACAAAGAAGTAATCGAGGGCAATGTGCTTCATGCGAGAATGAAATACCGGATTCGCCGAAAGATAAGTTGCACCAATGTTATCACAATAGATAACCAGTTTGGAAGTTGAAGAAAAACCGAGCTCGGAGAGGAGGGATACCACCCAACGAACCTCAGCGGCTGTAGAAACAACCGAACGGTACTCAGCCTCAGTCGAAGAACGAGCAACACCCGATTGCTTCTTAGATGACCAAGCAATAGGATGACCAGCAAGGAAGACAACAAAAGCTCCCGTAGACTTGAAATCATGACGATCACCAGCCCAATCAGCATCAGAATATGCATGCAACGTCAAAGGATTCTGAACAGACAAGAATATGCCGCTATCACGAGTGCCCGCAAGATACCGCAACACACGTTTAACAGCCTGCCAGTGTTGATCAGTCGGAGCATGCATGAACTGGGAGAGTTTGTTGACGGCGAAGCTTAAATCCGGGCGAGTGAGAGACAAATACTGAAGATTACCCACAAGTGTACGATACTCAGTCAGATTCGGAATAGGGTCCCCAGAGACAACAGTAAGTCGCGACGACGAAGCAAGAGGCGTGGAAATCGGTTTGGCATCGGACATTTCAGCACGTTGAAGCAAGTCCGTGATGTACTTCCTCTGAGTTAGAAGCAGACCACGGTCGGTGCGAAGTGCCTCAACACCAAGAAAATACGAGAGATTACCCAAGTCTTTGATAGAGAACCGCATGGCAATCGATGAAATAACCTGTTGAACTTGAGCCGAACAACTTCCCGTAACAATAAGATCATCCACGTAGACGAGAACATAAAGACGTACCGCTGAAGTGATATAAACAAACAACGATGTGTCGGCCACAGAGCTCTTGAAACCCCGAGCAAGCAGAAAGGAACGGTGTTCCGAATACCAGGCTCGAGGAGCCTGCTTAAGCCCATAAATTGCTTTGCGAAGTTTACATACGTGTCGAGGACGATCGGAGTCAATAAATCCAGGAGGTTGCGACATATATACTTCCTCAGTAAGATTACCCTGCAAGAATGCATTATTGACATCAAGTTATCGTAATGGCCAACCATGAGACACCGCAAGACTAAGAACCACACGAATCGTGACCGGCTTCACAACTGGGCTAAAGGTTTCATGAAAATCAATTCCCGGACGCTGATGAAAACCTTTAGCAACAAGTCTAGCCTTGAACCGATCCACTGAGCCGTCCGCTTTGCGTTTGATCCGAAAAACCCAGCGACAACCAACAATATTGACAGCTTCACTAGAGGGAACAAGATCCCAAGTACCATTTCGTATAAGAGCCTCAAGTTCATCATGCATGGCTGCTCTCCAACGCTGATCCTTAAGGGCCTGCGTGATAGAAGCCGGTTCAATGTCAACCGAAGAAGAGGACGACATGAGAGCGTACCGCGGATTAGGTTTGCGAACATTTGTCTTCGAACGCGTCTGCATGGGATGGACATTTCGAATGTCAGAGGCAGCAGAACGCTAAAGGAGCGGTGAGGATGAGACCATCGGTGGGGACTGGACAAGAGGAGCTGGAGTTGCAGGCGGCGTCAGGGAAGAATCCGAGCGTGGGGGCTGATCAGAGGCAGGAGCTTCGAGCGGCAGACGAAAAGAGGAGATTGGCTGGACAATGGAAGAAGAACCAGACGGAGGCTCAGACTCGATGGCTTGAGAAGGAGTAAGGGTAGAAGACTCAGAAAAGGGAAATATATGTTCAACAAATTTAACATGTCGAGACACATAAATCCTAAAATCCACCGGGTCAAGACAAAAATAGCCACTTTGTGTGGGAGAATAGCCAAGGAAGACATACGCACGAGAGCGAGAATCAAGTTTATGAGAGGAGTAAGGACGAAGCCAAGGATAACAAAGACATCCAAACACACGAAGTTTAGTGTAGTTCGGCTTGGAACCAAAAAGACTGCGAAAAGGAGAGTGCATACCAAGGATATGAGTTGGCATACGGTTAATATGAGATAGACCGCGGTGGTGAAAGCAAAAGACCAATATGATACAGGAAGAGACACATGCGAAAGGAAGGAAAGACCGGTTTCAACTATATGACGATGACGACGTTCGGAAATTCCGTTATGTTCTGGAGTATGAGGTGGGGTGGTGAGATGCGAGATACCATGCATCGCTAGATAAGGACGTAGTACCACGAACTCACCACCATTATCCGAATACAAGGTCACAATCTTAGTCCCAAACCGGTTTTCCACAAGAGGATGAAACTTGGTGAATGTATCAAGAACTTGCGACTTTTGTTTCAAGGGATACAACCAAGTATAACGTGTGAAATGATCGACGAAAATTACGTAATACTTGAAACCATCAGTTGAATGAACGGGTGAAGACCATACATCGGAGAAAACAATTTCAAGCGGTTTAGTGGAGGTAAGAGAGGAAGACGAAAAAGGAATTTTATGACTTTTATTAATATTGCAAGAATGACAAACAAAGGACGAACAATCTCGAGACAAAGAAAACTTCAAAGAAGACAAGATATAACGTAAAATTGGAAAAGCCGGATGACCTAGACGCGAATGCCACTCGGACAAAGTGGACTTGACACACGAAAACACACGAGGAGACGAACGAGAGATAGAAGGTGCCGGCCACTCATAAACTCCATGCCTACTTGGTCCGGTTAGGATTGGCGCCCCCGTGCTGAGATCCTTCACCTGAAATTTAGACGGGAAAAATTCCACAGAAATATCATTAGCGGTGCACAATTGATTCATCAAGACCAAGTTTTTACACATGGCCGGAACACAAAGAACATTCGCAAGCTTAAGTGGACGATTAGTAAGAGAGAGCGAAAGGGAACCCGTGTGCGTGATAGGTAGCCCGGAGCCATCACCAATAACCACGTCGTCTCTGCCTTGATAAGGACTATGAATCGCCAAGTTATGTAGATCCGTGGTGATGTGGTGAGAGGAACCACTATCCAACAACCACTGTTGCGCATCGTAAGAAGGATGCACAGCTTGGTGTGCTTGCGGTTGAGTAAAGCGAGACGGAGAGGACCACGATGGTGAATCTTTCGAGCCATTGACCGAAACTATCCGAAATCGAGGGCAATACTTGGCACTATGGCCTTGAGTGCCACAAGCTTGGCACTTACCCATGTAACCCTTGGGCTGAGACGACGAAGGAGAGGGTCCTCGGGGCCAGTTCGAGCGACCAGGATGGCGAGGGGAATGGCGCGGTCTCGGCGAGGCATTGTTAGCCGAGACAGGAGCTGATGACAACACTGGCAAGGAGGACGAAAGGAGCAGCTTTGCTTCATGATTGAGAAGCTTCTCATGAAGCTCGTCAATAGGAATTGCAGTGTCCCGAGCATTGACCACATCAATGACGGGTGTGAACTCTTCCGGAAGACCATCCATGATAGCTTCAAGAACATCCTCGTGATTCCATCGGCTTACCAAGGAGAGTACGTTCATCGATTTTTGACGTGATGAAACGAAGATATTCATCAAGTGATTGAGAGCCTTTGACACTCCTCTTGATCTGATCACGAAGTTGCAAGAGATGTCCGCGGGAAGCTTTCCCATAAGTGTTGGTGACGATGGTCCAAGCCTCGAGGGTAGTTTTTGCCCGAGCAACTAAGGGTTGAAGAGAAATTGATATCGTGCCCAGCAAGGCACTGAACAAAAGCCGATCTTGTTGTTTCCAAGGACCGAAAGCCGGATTTTCGGTAGAAACACCGTCGGTAGTCACGGTGGTAGAAGGAACCGCAGAAGAGGCATCAATAAAGCAGTCTAGCTTGTAGCCTTCAAGGAGTGCTTTCACTTGGATGCTCCATGTTAGAAGGTTTGTGGAAGTAAGCTTCGTGATATTTGCCATATTGATAAATAGCAATGTCTTTTGTGGAGATTGGACATCAAAGGTAGTGACTAATGGAAGAATATCTTCCTGATATCTCTTTGATATTTCTGTTTCTATATTGCATCCTAATCTCCTCCTTATTTTATGCCGTTTGGTTACCTTAAGCGTAACATACACATGTGTATA